TGAACTTTAATTAAAGGCAGGAGGAAGAAGATTCATGTTAGTTTCTCTTTCATCTTCAGGCTCCAGACCTGCAGCAGCAGTGGAGGTGACACCCACCAATCTTCGAATGAACAAACCACCAAATGCTGCCTCCGTCTCCTCTCCGCACACCACCCAGCAGCCCCACCGCCTCAGCGGCCCGAGTCCCGCAATCCTGAATTTCACGCTGCAGAACTTGGGTCTGATCTCCAGCCCAGGGGGCACCTTTGCATCATCACAGACCCCGGAGCGCTCCGGTTCCCTGCCCAGTCCGCTAACTCTGCAACAGAGAGGAATGGTTTTCATCAAACCGGTTTCTCCTGTTCCTGTCCAGCAGGGGCTGCCTGGTCAGCCGCTCACACTGATCAGTGTGCAACAGGTAAACATGAAGAGTTCTTGTATTCATCTATCCAAGTCTTTAACAGCTGAATAATCTGACACAACATCAAAGACAGAAAAGGAGGACAGCACTAAATTTCCTGCTGTCTGTGACCAACAAGAAGTAGATCTTCATTGTCGCAGACAGAGCAATTCCATGCTGTACAAAGTTCTAATGGAGTCTGGAAAAAATACACAATTTTTATTTCCATTTCTCCATATTGTTTAAATCTTCCCTCATTCCTTCCTTTAGTCTGATATTCATGCATCGATTCTGCAAGAGTGTTCTAGATCAGGCATCCCCAACCTCGGTCCTTAAGGCCCGCTGTCCTGCAGGGTTTAGAGGTTTCCCTGCTCCAGCACAGCTGATTTTAATTGAAATCTGATTAACAGGCTTTTCTACTGCAATCATTATAATCAGCTGTGCTAAAGCAGGGAAACCTCTAAAACCTGCAGGACAGTGGGCCTCGAGGACCGAGGTTGGGGATGCCTGCTCTAGATGGTCTGATGTTTGATGTAAACGCTCACTTATGAAGAAATATTTGCCAATTAATTTGTAGTAAACTGTTATTTTTCAATTGAATGCAAACAGTAAGGGGAGACTCTTTGCTTTCATACAGTTTCAAAACAAGATTGAAGACCAAAATGTAATGGTAGGGTTGGTGGTTAAGAGAGAAAGAATTCATGGCACTCCCCTGGTACTCGAGCAATACTGTTCTCTGTGAAAAACATCTAAACTGACTGGTTTTGTTTTTTCTGACCAATGGAAAAAAAACCGGGGGAATTCCTTTTGGACTGTTGTGACAAAACGCGGGGAATAAAATCACCCATAGGCTCCATTTTTACCAAATAGTTCTACAGTTTAATAAGCAGAGCTCCTTACTTGTGTCTTTCCCCCCTAATGCAGAAAATCTCCACAGATCACATCAAGAAGTTTTAAGATTTTTGAATCGTATTTATTTCTTTTTTCTAACTTGTCCTCCCAATCTGAACTTTTCTGGCAGCCTTTGATGACCACCCCAAAAGGAACAGGACTCCCTCAACACAGCTTCTTTCACACACCGGTCCCGCTCTCGCCTCTGGCTGCCATGGTAACCACCAACGGACAGCCGGCCACCAAAACTGTTTACATCCCTCAGAGGAAGCTGGACGTCTCGCCTGAGGACTCCTGATGTCGATGTTGGCAACATGTGTTAAACATGAACTTGTGGGTGGAGGGTTGTCCGACTGTCTGTGTGTCTTACGTGTTTCAAGTTATTCGTTACCTCTGAACATTTCACAGCTTCATTGTGGCTTTTGTTATCACAACCAGTCATAAAAATAGCTGCCATGCAGACTTTGACTGAGGCCCAATGGACTTACGGTAACCGATATAAAAGCAGTGCAGATACCCAGGAACACTACTGTTCTGCTCCATGCGACTCTGAGAAATGTTATCGCAAGGAATGCATTCAAATGTACTAACTGTCTTGCTTTTCTTTTTATTTGTTTTAATATTCTGGATTTCCTTTTGCTTGAAATAATTTCATCTATGGTGTAAAATTGAGATAATTTTTGCACATATGTACATGTGAAATGCTACAACCTGAAAAAATTCTTGAATATGTGAATATTTTATGCTTTCTGCATCGAAGATTTTGTTGGGTTTAATTTATGAGAAGAGAATGTGTTTGGTTTTATGCCTTGGTCTATGTAAAATGTTGAATGCATTTTAAAAAGATTTTTTGTAAAAACATCAATATGTGTTTTCTTGTTAACTTTCTTAACATAAATATTACACTCATTGCAGCAAGATCAAACAATGTAAAGTTAAGTGCCTCGTCTCTAAATCCTTGAGGGCTTACTCTAAATATTTATCTATAAATCATTACGTATTGGATTTATACCTTTATGAGGTTGTACCAGCTCTAATTTAACATTTATTGGGACATGATGAAACCTCATTATGACCTTGCATCCTCTTTAGTAGTGCAACAAAATCCATTACATAACGAAAGCTGAAAAGACGTCACAAGTAAGAACAGCTTTTGGTTCGAAAAAAAAGGAACATCTAAATTCTAGAACCACACTCATCTCCACAGTGTAATACCTGACTGATAGGCTGAATGGTGGCAGTTCATCAGAAATTATTGGATGGGGCAATATTTTATTTTTTTCTATTGAGGCACTAAATAGAATGAAACAAACCAAAACCAGGCTCTAGTTTCCCTGTTTGAAATATTAAGTGAGCCAAAGAGCCACTTCCATCCATGGTCACATAAGAACTAGCAGAAAAAAAACTTGAGCCTTTCTGTATATAACAAGCTAAAAGTGGAACAATGTGAATTTTATATAATAATTAAAATAAAACTTTCTTTGGTTTCTTTGCCAGCCCAGATATTTAGACACTTGTTTAGTATTTTCTTTAACCAGAACTACCCATGAGGGCGAAGATAGACAAACCAGCTGTCAGTTAAACAGATTGACCTATTCGACCAACTAATCTGCTCTGACAAGTCAACTTTAAAGTTTTTATATAACATGGTAGCAGAGGTGTCAAGTAACGAAGTACAAATACTTCATTACTGTATTTACGGTAAGTATACTTTTTAGGTATCTACAGAGATGGCAAAAGTACTCACTTTCCGTACTTGAGTAAAAGTACAGATACTTGTGTTAAAAAATACTCTGGTAAAAGTGGAAGTACTGATTAAACTTCTTTACTCAAGTAAAAGTAACAAAGTACAGGCTTGTAAATTTACTTAAAGTATAAAAGTAAAAGTAGAAACCACTTTTTTCATGCCGTTGCCTACATTTTAAATGAATGTCTGCCAATAGGACTAGATCTCTGTTGTGTTCATTTTCAATCATCTCGTCGTCCATTCTACTATGCTAACGCCACCAAGCTGCAATGATTTGCCGCGAATAAATACCGCCGAATCTTTCGATTCATCTTGTAGTGGTGCGTCAAATGCAACGTAGATTCCCTTCCAATTAGATTGAATTTGGTATTGATGACGTGAAAAATAACGGTTACTCCATTGAAATGATTCAAAACTAAAGTAACGAGACAATTTTTTTAAAATTTAAGGAGTAGAAAGTAAAGATATTTGTGTAAAAATGTAAGGAGTAGAAGTAAAAAGTCACCATAAAAATAAGTAGTAAAGTAAAGTAAAAATATCAGATAAATCTACTTGAGTACAGTAACAAAGTATTTGTACTTCGTTACTTCCCATCTCTGGGTATCCAACTTTATACCATTACTTATTTTTCTTCCTACTTCTGACTTCTACTCATTACATTTTCACACAAGTATTTGTACTTTTTATTCCTTACATTTTTAAACATTACTCGTTACTCTTGGCTTTGGTTTAATGTTTAGAAATATTTATTTCACATCATGTGCTCCATCCAATGCAGATCATTGGCGCCATCCACATCTAGTGAAAACTAGTTTAATTGGATGAGTCATATAACACAAACACTCATTGATTAGTTAAAGGAAATCATCAGAAGTAAGCAGGTGTTCTTCAAAGTGCAAATGCGAATTTTCTATGCCATGCTACATTTTTGGATTCAGAAAAAGATGCTTAAAGGTCGGACACAGGCGAGAGCAACAAGATCTCCCTAACCCTTTGCCCTATCTCAAAGAATTTTTCGAAATAGTCGAAAAATTGAGTTTTAAATGTTTTTAAAGGTTATTTTATACTTTAAGTAGTTTTTGGAGCAAGTACTTTTTGACTTTTACCTGAGTAAAGAGGTCAAGTTGTTACTTCAACTTTTACCAGAGTGTTTTTAAACTGCAGTATCTATACTTCTACTTAAGTAACACATGTGTGTACTGTTGACACCACTGCACGGTAGAGATAGCGTCATGGTGAGGGGATTTTCTTCACGAACTGCCCCTCAGAAAGCGTAATCTTGCAATGTAAATTACCAAAAACAACACATCTCAGTGCATTTCAGCAAAGCTTGTGCTGAACTAAAAGCCCAAAACTGTCTTTAGCTCACTTGTAAAAGTATAAAAAGAAACTTAAATTGAAACCAAGGAGCCACTGTAGCGATCTAAAAACATTTTTTAGATCTGTTTTAACTAGTCTCTTATCTCAGTTTAGTTTTGACCTGAATATGATTGATAAATGAAACAAATGAATTCACCATAACAATAATCCAAAAGGACAAAATCATACATTATTATCTCAGATTTGCTTGTTGATGCCACTGATCAAAGTTTTTAGATATTTCTCCAATGAAAAAGGAAAAAGGCAATTTTAAAACTGAGAGAAGATCTATTGCTTATTCCTCCATCCTGTTAACAGAACGGTTTAGCTGAAAAAACTCAAAAAAAGTAAACTTCTTCACATTCATGTTCAGTAAAAGTGAGTTTAAACCTTTCCAGCAGTCTATAATAAACAAGAAGTGTAAGCGTGTACATAATGGAGCCGTTAAAACAAGATCAGTGGTGATGTTAAATCTCTGGGCTTGAGATGCTTCTGTGGACGCAGCTGCCAGAGCTCTGTGTGTGTCCTGCTCCAGAACAAATGTTTGAGCTCCTGATGTTCAGGCCTCTTTCAGCCGGTGATAAAAGGTCAGAGGCCTCGGCTCTGTCACAAGTTATTTTAAGGGGAAGCGTCAGCAGTGGTCTGTGCTGCTGGTGGGATGGAGAGTATTTAACCCGCCTGGGAGAGTTTTTAGCCCCATCCACCACACGGACTCTGACTCAAGGTGAGGAACCATTTTATTTCTGTTATCGGCCAAGGAACCTTTCATTTTAGTTTTAAATGGCAGAAAAAAACCTTGTTTATTCACATTCCTTTAGGATTCAAAATTTTCCAACATTGCAGAGTTATTTGATGGCTTTTGTTTGTTAAAGACCTAATTCCAGTTCTGTGAGATGACGGCTGGAAACTGGAATGTTAAAAAAGGGGCCAGTATAACCTTCATGGCCTCTTCTTTAGGCTCTTGGTAAAATACCTGGCTTGGAAAAAACAGCTGTTTGGACAAACTGCTGGGTTTTCTTTACTGCTATTGAATAGTTCAGAACAATAGAACGACATGGACAGAAAGTGATAGCAGAAGGATATTTCCAGAAAGCAACTATTTACTGCTACATCTTATAATTCTAAGTAAAAATATTTTTGCAGTTATCATTTATTTTAGTATTTTAACATGTTTGTGCTATGTTGATAATAAAGAAGAGACATTTGATCATTTCCAGCCATTCAAGCCTTGAAAGTGAAGCAGAAATCAGAGGAGGTTCTAAGATGCCCAACTGGGGAGGAGGCGCTAAGTGTGCAGCCTGTGAGAAGACCGTGTACCATGCCGAGGAGATCCAGTGTAACAGCAGGAGTTTCCACAAGACCTGTTTTATCTGCAGTAGGGACACTTTTTTTTTTAACTTAATTTATGGAAGAGTGCATATTATGTTGAGCCCAGAGAGGCAGTAAGAGGGACCATACTGAACATGAATGATTATGATTATACATGATTAAAGTACTAATGACACAAGATCTTTGCACACATATAACATGATTAAAGGACTTCTGGCCTGTTGCATACTAACCTGAAGAATAGTGAGAATCTCTGAACCACACAGGAGTTCCTTCAAACCAGAGACTGTAGTTCTTACTGGTGCCACTAAAACAAGAACATAGTTGATATTTATGCTGAGCTTCTCCCATCATTGTTGTTACCTCTGTGTACAATTTCATTGTTTTTCATATAAATCATTGAATTTTTTTAAACTTTTTATCTGTATCTTACATACATTCTTTCTTTTTTTTTACTGTTGTTTTTTAACAACAGTGCCTTGCAGCAAGAAGGTTCTGGGTTAGATTCCCAGGCTGGGGTCTTTCTGCATGGAGTTTGCATGTTCTCCTTGAGCATGCGTTGGTTCTCTCCGGGTACTCTGGCTTCCTCCCACAGTCCAAAAACATGACTATTAAGTAAATTGGCTTTTCTAAAAGTCCCCTTAGGTGTGTGTGTGAATGGTTGTTTGTCCTGTTTGTCTCTGTGTTGCCCTGCGATGGACTGGCAACCTGTCCAGGGTGTACTCCGCCTTTCGCCCGTAGACAGCTGGAGACAAGGACCAGCACCCCACGTGACCCCACTTGGGATAAGCATGTTAGAAAATGGATGGATGGAAGTTCCCCTTAACCAAATTAATCCTAAATGTAAATTTGAAGCTTTCCACAAAGTTCAAATGTTTATTCTCCAGGTTAAAAGGCTGGAATCGATGTTTACAGACACAGATTTATAATAAATGTTCCAAAGAAAGAAAAAAAGAATGATAGTTGACATTGTATGCTTAACAACTTGTTCTGCATTCAAACTTTTCTTCAAACCTTTTTTCCTGACCTTGCGGCTGTGTTCTGAGGGATGCAAACTTAAACAGAGGAATCATCAACCAACATTAGTGCACAAAAACTGTCCTTTTAACGCACTTAAGATGCTGTGTAATAAAAGTTAGTTTTTAGAGGCTAATCTGTGATAAAAGGACAATAAAAAACAGTTTTGAAGACTTTTTGCAGATTAAAATAAATACAATTTTTGCTCCTTCCCTCCTGAGTGAAGTCCTGGTAGAAACATCTTTTAATATATTTACCGCTGTAGTTCTTTAGACGTATGTATCTACAAGCTTTGTTTCCCATTTTTCATTCAAAATATCTTGACCTTGCTCAAAGTTAATGACAAGCTTCTTTCAACATCAACGTTCAGTAAAATAACCCCACAGCATAATGCTGCCAGCACCATGCTGCACCCTGAGAATGGTTTACTCAAGGAAAATTGTTTGCAGTGTTTTTAGCCACACACAGCATTTTGTTATCATTACCATTAAAAGTAACTTTGTGAACCTTTATTAAGTGATGTCATTATTCTTTACAATCTTTCTCAATTGGCTGATTCTTGAAGATCTATTACTAGTTTTTCTGTCCTCCTCCTTCCAGAGCAGAGGATCTCTGTGGCTCCTACAAAGTTACCAAGTTACCATCTTGGCTGCTTTCTCCTGAATCTCCCAACTTGTACATTTAAGTGGACAGAAAGAGCTTCTTGGTCTTTTTACTGACCCAAACCTGCTTAAAATTCCTTTGCAATGTTTTGAACCTCTGAGACCTTCAGAAAACAACTGCATTTACCCTGGCATCACTAGATTTACAAATGGACTGCATAACTAATGCACTCTGTCTCACAAACTCCTAATATACATCAAAGCTTGCAGTTATATTGTATAAGTGGATATGCAAATAGTAGGTTTTTCTTTGCTGTGCTACAAACTCTGACCCTCTCCAGCTTGTTGGTGTCGCTGTGACTGATACATTATTCCACCGGGAAGCTATCAAAGGCCTCTGTGATAAACTCATCCCACCTGCTAAGTGTTCATCTTCTCTCCAACATTCACTTCACACTCCAGGGTCCTCCTGAAAATAGCAACACAAGACATCTGACTTTGTGTGCTGTCACTGATGACTGATAAAGCCAGCTAGGCGGGAGCTTTATTTAACTTTCATCCCTCCAACATGGCATTCCTGCATTTTAATCCTGCATTCCTGAGCCTGGGATAAAATATGAATGTCCTTTATTTTCACAGTGAGCTGCAGAAAAGGGCTCGACAGCACCACGGTTGCTGCACATGAATCTGAGATTTACTGCAAATCGTGTTACGGGAAAAAATACGGACCAAAGGGCTATGGATATGGACAAGGAGCTGGAGCTCTGAGCTCTGATCCTCCAGGACAGGACGGAGAAGCACAGCCGCTAAAGTACGGGTTGAACACCAAATAAGGACTTTTACAGATGATGGCCCTAAAATTTGTTGAATTAACACCTTCAACTTTAGATTGAGTAAGAGGTTTTATACATTTTTTGTTTGTAGAGACTTACCTTTAGTATTTTCAGAGATTTTGAAGTCTTTAATCCTTAAAAACACAAGGAGTTAAACTTGGTTTCTACACAGATTCTTCTAATATTGGTCCAAATGATGCAGAAACGTAGCTGAATGGATTACCAACCAAAAAACATACATTCCTCCCAATAAGATTCAAAATTGTACTGAAAATAAGGATATGTAGGCAGTAATTGTTTAAAAGGTGAATAAGTATTGATAAGGAGGACCCACTTGAAATGATTAAAATATTTTTGTTTTAAAAGGAATTATAAACAATGGATGAACCAAGACTTTCATACAGTACTGTACAATATGCCCTACTATATGTGTGCATATTTTATAGGATATTAAGCTTTCAGTTAATTTCTTTTCCAGCTCTAAACCTCGACAAACCTCTTCAAACCCCAACTCCAGCAAGTTCTCCCAGAAGTTTGGTAGCTCAGACCGCTGCCCCCGCTGCTCCAAAGCCGTTTATGCAGCAGAGAAGGTGATGGGAGCAGGAAAGGTAAGAACTGTCCCTGAATACTCTGGTTCTCAGTCTGAACCATTTCTTCTTCTATCGGTTTGCTGGCATTCAAAGATGGTCACTGCCTAAGAATCCAGAAATAGGGAGAGAAAGATAAAAAGACGGGTGCTGAGGGCAGATGAGCTATGGCTAAAATATTTCATGGGAACATTAAACATTTTATTGGTTCCCACCCTAAATACTTAAACAATGAACTCTGCATCAGTGAACAAACAGAAATGAATTAATCCATATTTTGAGCTTCTTATGTTTTATTTACGCAAACCAGATAGCCTTCCAACATAACTTAAATTAAAATAGTTCTTAAACAATTTCCCCCTCAACATCAGCATTACATTTACTAAGATTAAATGAAATGACATGGCAGTAATATGTGTATATAGTATGATCTATTTTCAGTTACTGTTATGGTCAGACTCTTAGCAGAAACAAATCCTTACCATCCACAGTTGTAGAAAACAAAGCAAAAATAATTAAATGTATTCTTTGTTCAGGCGTGGCATAAAACCTGTTTCCGCTGCGCTCTGTGTGGGAAGAGCCTGGAGTCCACCACAGTGACAGACAAGGATGGAGAGCTGTATTGTAAAGGTACCTTCATTCAAATATCTATATTATATATATATACATATACCGTATTATTTTTTTATTAAATTGGATATTTTCCAAAAATACATACAATTTCAACAATTACCCACATCTTGGTATTTTCTTACTCTGTCATCCAAGGACATTTTTTTCTCCACTGTCCTATTCAGATGTCATTCTAAACTCTGGCTTGATCACAAAACATCTCTTATTTTCTTTACAATAGTAATTTAAAACTATTATTTGGAGCTGCTCATAACAAAAAAGTTACCAAGAATGATGCTGCAACCACCATGATTCATTGTGGTTAAGGTGTGCAGCTTGAAATTAAATTGTATTTGACATTGAATTGATGATTATACATTGGTGATTAAACTGAACAGACTGTATTTAATAGTATGAAATTGAATAAAAATTGTATCCAATGTTAGGTCCATTAATTTGGCTGAATTTTAAACAGATTTTATTGCTCTTAAAACTCAGTTTGACCAATTTCTCTTTTGGTTTAAAAATTCAAAAAACGATTCTAAAATTTAGATTTTTTTTGTTTTATCTTACATCTGGGTCTTTGAAAAACAAACATAAAAAAAAAAAACAGCAATTGAACAGAGGTTGATATGGTGCATATACTGTAGTGAATCTATGCGACTGCATTTAGACTTTTTATACTGGACCTCAAAGGAGCTGCAAATGACCAGCAGTAAAACTCTTAAAACACTCTAGTAGAATAGATCTGCGTGAGCCCACATTAAACTCACTCCCAGTGTCATGTTAAAGTAGCAGCCATTGAGAAGTAGAACAGGATAGGAGAACTGCAGTTTGCCTGTAGAAAGACAGTGACATTTATTTACCTGATGCTTCTTATGCAGGAAATACATTTAATACAAACCTGACGATTTGGCTGAGAATCTGTGTTTGATTATTCTGGTCTTTCTCAAGGATCCTGATGTATGTTCACAAAAAATAATCAGAATTTTGGAAAATTTATTGAATTCTTTATACAACCTGAATTTTTAATGCAATAAAATACAGCATCAAATTCCTTCAGTTTCACTAATAGTTTCAGTTTAGTGAAATTCACTTTCATTTTACAGTCATTCTGATTTATTTAACTTTAAAATTCAGTTTCTATTCAAATTTAGTTTGCTGATGGCAAAGGTTTCCGTCGTACTACTGACTGAAACCTTTTCACTGGGATCATTCATAACCTTTCTGCCGTTTATGGCTTTAGTTGAAGGATGTAGGTTTCAGGGAACTTTAACAGTCAAATTCTGTTTCAGTTTAATCAGTTTCACTTCAACCAACAGCTGGTCTAAACTCAAAAAGAAGGAATGATGGAACTAAAATAAAGATTGCTTCAGCAAGGGCTTTGCAACCCTATGCAATCAAGTTATTGGAGTGTCACCTGACTTAATAGCTGAATTCCACATAATATCTGTTATATTGAAGGTGGAAAAAGTTATGGCCTCTCCAAAATATCTAACTCTAAATTAGGGGTGTGTGAACTTTGAGATCCATAGTGTAAAGCTCAAGCTTGATTATATGATAAAAGCACAAACAGGTTTCCACTAATAAAGCTTTGTTTTATATTTCTATTTTCAGTTTGCTACGCCAAAAACTTTGGTCCAAAAGGATTCGGGCTTGGCAACGAGGCCATGTTGGAGGAGCGTGAATAAACCTATGGCTCTGCTGAACCCATGGCGCCTCAACCCTGAAGAAAGATGAGCATTATCAGCAATGTTTAAACTCACAAAATAAAAGCATTTTGTTACATCACCATTTATCATTGTGCATTTATTTAATTTCTGAAATCCTAATTGTCTTTTAAAGCTGATCTTTCATGACTTATGGTGCAAACTTCCTTATTTATAGTATTATTGTTGCTTTGTGGATGTAATGCACTGTTTGTACTTCAGCTAAGTAAACATTACTGCTATGTAGACTTAAAATCTATACAGATAAATAACTAATAATGAACGATTTAAATCAGCTCTCTTCAACTAATCAAAGACTATTAATTTAAATTATAATTTTTTTTAATCAAAAGAAGCAATGTCATAGAGAACTTTAAAATTAAACCAAAAGCTGTTTTTAAACAGGAATTGTCTTAAATTTCTTCAGCCAGTTATAGAAATATACTCCAACTTTTTGTTTTAAAAAGACTCAAGTAAAAGCAAGTTTTCAACCGTTAGAAAGACAGGCACAAGATTGCGTTATTGAAGTATATAATAGTGGTCACTTGTTATGAAACACATGCAGCTTTTATAAAAGTCATAAAACAAAACCATTTTACACATACAAATCTTGTTTTCATCTTGTTAGATGATAAAAATAAATGTTTTCATAAAAACAGCACAAAACGTCCAGAACTATTTAGGCCTTAAAGATTTTTCCATTTTTACTCACATTGGTCATAAGGCAGCAGCAGACTGTACAAAGATCACCTGGATCATATGGTATCTACATCTCCTCTGTATTTTTCAACCTCTACTATTATTAAGTCTCTCTTTACAAATGAGCAAAAGGATGGACAAGTACATAAATACATTCTGTGCTTTTGGTCCAGGAGCGGTCCCACACGGACATTTTTGCGGTGGGGATGAGGTCAGATCATGTTCATTTGTTCCAACAGGTATTGGTCACGCTGGGACTGAAACTGGGACGTCCAGTCGATGACGGTCGGCTTGCAGAGGCCACAACAGCGCAGCTGGAAGAACGTCACCAGGTTCTGCACCACACCCAGGCTGCAGACAGACGGGTCAAGAAGAAACCAGAGTGGTGAAAAGGAAATGGAAACTTTGAGGATGCAAGCCTCTAATTTCCAGCTTATTTTAAAATGTGTTTCTGTTTAAATCCATGGGTTTAATAAGCTTAAAGTCTAGTTTTCTGTTGTTCACACAGGAACAAGGGGAAGAATGCAAAGCTGTTTAAAATTTCCCACTGGTCCATACAGAAACTGGTTCCATAGTGGAGAAAACTACCACAACCTTCTGAGTCGTTATATTATGGAAAGATAAGCTTTTCACTATGAACAGAAAATGGTGAATGAGAAGTTGTTTGATGTAAATCAGAGTTGAAATGATTGCTTTCAAACCTACAGTCTTCTTCAACATCTGAGCAGAGTAAACACACACAAAGTCCACTTCCAGGTCCTCCCAGTGTTAACTGGGTTCGATCAGATACCCGAGTAAAATTAGGATTTATTATCCCAGTTGAGAATAAATAAATAAAGTGAGATAATCATAAAGAATATAGTTATACTAATTTAAGACTTGTTCCAAACTCCCTGGAATAATTAGATAGTTTAGTCTACTTTTGATTTTAACCAGGTACCGGCAACTAGTGGCTCTTAATAACTTTGCCGCAGTATTTTTAAAATATACTTATATATTTTTTAAATTGCACTCTCAACATTTTCTAGCAATATCTGAAGAGAATTTACAAAACCAAAAGACACAAACTACAGTTTTCCACCCATTTCTCATATATACAAGCTTGTTAGAAACTAAACAAAAGGACTTAAGATTAAAGTGAAGGTTTATAGTTCAGCATGAAAACGGCACAAAACATGCGACAGCTCCCAGAATGCAATGCTCCTGTGTTTGAATCATCAAGTGAAGTCCAGAAAAAATATGAATGGGAAACACTCATTTATTAGGGGCAAGAAAAAGTGTTTTAGCTACATGCCGTAATAAGCTGAACTGTTCTTAGATCTAATCAAACTCCAGAAATAATAACATGTTAATAACCATAAATCCTTTATAATTAGTAAAACATTTGGTTTGCTTTATCAGATACATTTATAGTAAAACAAAATTTATTTTATGATTAAACATCTAAATAGAAGGAAGAAAAAAAACAACGTTTTTTAAGGCACTACATATAAAGACAAATAATATACCTTTGTATATTGTCACCTTAATATACCTTAGTTTAACGTAAGGCATAAACAACGACTGATAAATAATGATAAACAAATAAAAACAGACCAAAACACCTGTCTTCACAGCAATGTTTTTTATGTATTCACCTTTAAAGCTAAATACTTTGATTTGCCTCTATAGTCCAGTATCAGGTAAATCCTTCATAAACAGGAGAGGAATATCAGTGAACTCACTTGAATGGATTTTGTCTCAAGGACACAGATTGTCTCATTCTCCTTTGTAGGAGGATCCGATTTGTTCTCTCTGAAGATGTTAATCCCAGGAATGCAATCTGATCAGAAACACAGAAAAAAAAACAAGGAAAAACATTATTCAAAAACAACAATGTTCATTAAGTGAACAAAGGCAGGAGATAAGAAAAGCAGCTGAACTGGTTTTATAGGTTTAATGGGTGTTAAGACCTCTAATCTGATCTGAAACTAACTACAGATCGTTAGGAGTCATTCTTTTTGCCTCAATAAAAAAGAAGAACTTTATTTCTGTTTGTTTTATTTTAAGTCCAATTTGTAGTCATCTTTTTTTGTTACATTAGATTAAAAGATGAAGTTTTACCGCACTAATAAAAAGACATCTGTGGGCCATAGAAACCCATCAACAGATTTCAGCCATCACCTGGTAAAGCTGCCCTATCAGGAACAAAGTGGACCAGCAGGTATGGTAGAAAGACAGCACAAAGATGAAGAGCACCCAGGGGGAGCAGCTAATGCCTGCAGACAGGACCCCCCACACACCCTGATCCTCATAATGCAGCAAACAGTGACTTTTCCAGTCTGGAAGGACAGAAACATCTATTTTTATTATGCAGATCCATCAGCTTCTGTTATACTTTTGCTTATTGACTCACATGTAAAACAACCGTAGAGCATCGAGCAGCCCAGCAGCGAGAGGGCGAGCAGAAAAAGGACGAAGTAGCGGTGGTTCCTTGCTCCTAAAACATTAACATGAAGGTTAACAGTTTATATTGAGCAGACAGAATAGATCACTAAAATCTTATGGCTTAGTTTCTAATCTGCACAGATATTGATAGAAACTTGTCTTTAATAATCAAAGTTTTAAAAGCTCGGCATTTATCAATAATCAATTGATTTGTATAATTAACCTTGAAGAGAGACAGTAAATAGTACAACTCATCTAACATTTTCATTGATGCTCTTCCAAAGGACTAATTCTATCTTATATTCCCTCTCCTCTTTTGTCTTTACATGTGAGGTTGTCTAATCCCGGACAAAAAGATTCCGTCCAGCTGAGACGACCTTTAGCCCAGAAAACTGTCAAAGTTTTCCAAAAACATGACAGGGTTTCAAGTTTCTGTTTCAATGTGTGAATCCCAAGTTTCCCCAACGTACCGCTGACCCCATGTGGTGAAAACTGATCACAGCAACACAAAGGACTTCCAGGATGTTTTCTAAAGTCAGAATGTGGTTTTAATTATTGCTCAATGCTGCTTCATATTCTACTATACATTAAAGTAATGATTGAAAATATATTTAAAAAAAATAAATATATTTTTTAAATGACATGCTATTGAAAATACTTTTGAGCAGATCACTGATTCCGAGTCTGACTTTTTCACGAGGTCGTGAACATCAACAGATTTAAACACCAACCACTAGAAAGAAGCAGCATTACTCACAAGCTCTTTAGAGACTGAAATAACAGTTATAGAAAGTTGAAATAGAACATTTGTTTAAGTTATAGAATCAAACTAACTAAATCATGTTGTGGCCAGGGATGATTTATTGATACTACTCTATATGATACACCTTTAGATATTTTCTAAATACCCATATTGACATTTTTTAGTAAGTAATAAGCACTGGCGGGTTCATCTTTCCTAAAACATTGTAACAAAATGGCATATACACACACACATATACATATATTTTATTTATTTATTTTTTTTGATTTTATGAACTAACAAAAGAAGACTCGTTTTTGTGAAAACTGTGCCCACCGGGACTTAACAAATAAGTCCATGTATCAGAAAATGTCCACTTCAAATTTAAAGCGACGCATCGAGTTAAAGCATCCAAGCTATCTTGGGAAATATCTGCTACTGAATGAGGAACATAAGAAAATGTTTTTTATACAGAGAATTTTAGCAGAATCTGAATGTACCTGTATGTTTCTGAAGTTCTGAGTAATCTGGCTAAATAAAGGCTTCACTGCACATACAGTATATGTATCAAGTATTTTTCATTATGACCACACATTTAAAAGGATGATATATATTAGATTCTGCTGTGTAGGATAGTGGCTTTATTTATTAAATGAACTTGAACTGGTAATTATTTTATATGTTTTTGAACTTTGTTCATTTTTGAAAAAGTGAACTTTGAACATAAGGTAGTTGGTTTCCATCTGTTTGAACTGAGCTTGTTCTTTTTAATTATGAACTGGCACAAGCTTGCATGTTGTGCCAGTTCTATCTTGCTTAATTTTAGTTTATATTTTAGAAGTTTACTATTCCTTATATAGCAGCAAATTAGCCAGTGGTTAGAAGGCCTGGTTCAAACAACTGGAATAAAATCAGGCTCGTCAGCAAAGACAATGAAAAAACTTGGTTTTGTATTTGTGTTTATAGAAAAATTCTTTAATTAAACTGAAGGAAACGGCTGCATATATTAACTAATCTGAAGTGCTGTAATGTACTTAGAACTGTGTGGAATATATATATATTTTAACCAACCAGATTTAGCTTTGACACTTTCAGTGGACTATAGAACCTTTCCATGCTAACCTGATGACAAAGCCACTCATTATTTGCTAATTCCCCTCATTATTCAGTCGTACCTATGCAGGTGTTGATCCACTCAGAATGGTGGTCTTGCT